TCTGATGTTCGACCTTAACCTTACGCAGGTTAAGCACCTCTCAACGAACCACGCAACATCCCTCTTCATACAGGGCCACCAATACTCCCTCCTCAAATCCAAATACATCTTAGTGACCCCAAGATGGATCAAGAATTTTGACCGATGAGCCTCTTCCATCAAAATGGCACGCGCACCTCCCACGAACGGTACCCAAATACGCCCCTGAAAAGTCATAAGCCCCCGACCATCGGTAACGAACTCTGATACCAATCCAACAACTCGCTCTCTCTTTTGGTTTTCCGACCTCACTGTCTCAGCCTGTGCTCCTCGAATGGTGTCCAACACCGGAGTCATCACGGTCAAACGCAAACATACACCTCGCAACGGCGCGCTCTCTGCCCGACGACTCAGGGCGTCGGCTACTACATTAGCCTTGCCCGAATGGTACAAGATCTCACAATCATAATCCTTAACCACATCCAACCACCTCCTATGCCGCATATTTAGGTTGGGTTGATCCATGAAATACTTCAGACTCTTATGGTCCGTGTATATCGTACACCAAACCCCATACAAATAATGGTGCCAAATCTTGAGGGCGAACACCACTGCCCCCAATTCTAGGTCATGGGTGGGATACCTCGTCTCATGAGGCTTCAACTGCCTCGATGCATATGTTATCACATGCCCTCTCTACATCAACACCGCTCCCAACCCCAAAATCGATGCATCACAGTATACAACAAAGTCCTCCATTCCCTCCGGGAGGGCTAACATCGGGGCCTCGCATAACCTTTGGCGAAGCATCTCAAAGGAGGCCTGCTGCTCGGGGCCCCATGAAAAAGCAACACCCTTCCGGGTCAACCTAGTGAGTGGCACTGTGATCTTAGAGAAATCCCTGATAAATCTCCGATAATAACTGGCCAACCCTATAAAACTCCTGATCTCAGAGGGTGACCTCGGCACCTCCCAACTCATCACTGCCTCCACTTTGGCCGGATCGACCAATATCCCATCCTGGTTAACATGATGTCCAAGGAACTGGACCTCTCGCAACCAGAAATCACACTTGGAGAATTTGGCATAAAGCCTCTCCGATCTCAGAACTCCGAGGATCTCCCTTAAATGCTCCTCATGCTGCTCCCTAGATCTCGAATATACCAAAATGTCATCAATAAATACGATCACCGACCGATCCAACATCGGCCTGCACACCCGGTTCATGAGATCCATGAACACTGCCGGAGCATTGGTGAGCCCGAAAGGCATCACCACGAACTCATAATGCCCATAACGCGTCCTAAACGCTGTCTTCTGGACGTCCTCATCTTGCACCCTCACCTGATGATATCCAGACCTCAAATCAATCTTGGAGAACCAAGATGCTCCCTGCAACTGGTCGAACAAATCATCGATCCTCAGCAACGGGTAACGGTTCTTGACCGTCAATTTGTTCAACTCTCGGTAATCAATGCACATTCGGTGTGAACCATCCTTCTTCTTTACAAACAGAATGGGCGCTCCCCACGGCGAGCTACTCGGCCGAATAAACCCTTTCCCCAGCAGCTCCTGAAGCTGTGAGGATAACTCTTGCATCTCGGGAGGTGCAAGACGATAAGGCACCTTAGCGATCGGCACAGCCCCCGGG